TATAGTCTGGTTATTAATCCCTTGTCAGATGTGTAGTTTGCAAACATTTTCTCCCATTCTGTGGGTTGTCTCCTCACTTTGTTGATTGTTGCCTTTGCTTTGAAGTTTTTTAACTTGATATGGTCCCATTTGTTCATTTTTGCTCAAAAATGTCTGATAGAGTAACTAAAATTAAAAGTGTCTTACATAAATTCTTACCTATATATTTTATTCATAAATCAGATCAAAAAATTTTATTTAGTATTTGTACTTTGTACTATATTAATTTACTACTTTATATCTTAAGAAAAAAAAGACTTCTTAGGCAAATTTAACTCCAGCAACTATCTGGATCATATAAAGCATACCCGGCCAACTAATACATCATTTTTAAACTAAATTATCTGGCCAGGTGTGGTGGCTCATGCCTGTAATCCTGGCACTTTGGGAGGCCAAGGTGGGTGGATCACCTGAAGTCAGGAGTTCAAGACCAGCCTGGCCATCATGGTGAAACCCCATCTTAAAAAAAAAAAAAAATTATCTGATGTTCTGAACACAAAGAAGAGACTAATAACTCATCATTCTATAATTGCTTAAAGACAAAGAATAAAGCAATTATGAAGTAATTATTTCTAAGACAGAAATCACATCAATAAGATACATTTAGAAATTTAAAAGCAAAGCTACTACAATGGCTTTGAAGAGGATTTAAAACCTAAAGAACAGTATGCCAACATTCCTCATCACACCAGATTTTCAGCTAACCTCAGAAGAATGACTAGGTCTATACTAAGCTAATGGGTTCACAGGCTTAATAAGTTATTTAGCTCTGCTTTGTATTCAATTACACATATAGACTACATAATATTTAAAGAGCCTAAAATACATATTTGCTAATCCATGTAGGGTCCACCCAGTTTACCGCTCTCAAAAATTCAGAGAAAATCAAACCTGGTCTAAGGACATTTTAATCTAAAAAAATAAATAAATAAATAGTACCGTCACATATGCCAGGAAGGAAACCTAACAAAAATGTTTTGTTTTATTATTTAAAGTTTGAGTTAAAAAGTTAAAAATGTATAAAATATTAATAATATGCTAGAAGGGTGGATAGGATACATATCCTTACAATCACCCTCCCACATACAAGAACCAATTCCACTTGGCAATAAGTAAGAGACTATATTTGCCTATCAATCTCTAATTTACTCATTATTTGCACACAACTATGTAACAATAAAATATAAACTATGGTTTATGCCGAGAATTATGGAGACTTTCTCCTCAGAATTTAAAGTAGATTAAAAAGGTTCTAAGTATAGCAGTCATTGGTTTGATTATTACATGAAAAGTCTGAAATGGATGAAAGGTTAAAAAAACTTCAACTGATTTAAAAAAAAAATCATACTTCACCTCAGTGAAGCATGGCTGATAGCTTTTATGGCAAGATTAAAATAATTAACTTACTTATTAAGTATACTAAAGGTCAATAAATTCACAAGCTGTGAAAACTAAATGACATTCTAGGTTAGGTATATATTTATTCAAAACCTTAAGTCCCTATTATATACAAATACATAAAAATGTGGAAGTATATAAAAAAACCCAATATTCACAGGATTACACTACAGGATGGAAAACATGTATTTTTTTTCCCCAAAGTAATACATATTAAAGAAACAGGATCAAAATAAGTAGAATCTTTACAAAACAAACAAGTGGTTAATTCTATCTCCTGCTTCCTTTTCCCTTCCCCTAATATTTTAGGGAAAGGGCATCTGAAAAAAGAATAGAAAGACCTCATCCTAGGTTGCGGGTCTTTGGGGATAGTTACTTAACAGCTGAATCCAGAAGTTTCTAGGCAAAAGGAATAGGATAAGCAAAGATACCCTAACATTCTGCTCTGGGAGTTATATACAATTTTAAAGCATGAAAGCAGAAGGCTGGAGCTAGGTGATTACAGAGGGTCATACAAAGAGATGGATCTAAGTCAATTTACATTAACAGGCAGCTACTGAAAATTTTTAAACAGGAAAGAAACATCATATTTCTGTCAATAACACATAAGAGGATAGATTAAAAGATTATTGCTAGATTCAGTGATGCTAAGGATCTAAACAAGGCAGAAGCGGCAAAACAGGATATGACAATTACAGCTAATCAAAATAGGTAGAATATAAAATTCTGTGGGGCTGTGAAAGGGAGAGAATACCATTATTTGGCTTCTGCTTTTCTTTTTCATTTAAATACATAATCTAAGCGTAAACCCAGAATCTACATAAAGGATTCAGTGACCTGACATATAATAAAGATCTTCATTGTAGAAAACTAACAAATCTAGGAGAGAGCTTTGTAAAGTAAGCCTGAAAAGAGAGATCAAAACTTTTTAGTGAGGAATAAGAACAAAAACTGGCATTTAAATAGCAAAGCTAATAATTATGAAAGTAAAAAAGATTAATATAATTGCAACTACATGCTATTAAGAATAAAGGAAAATCAAATATGAATAGTATTATATAATATTCTTCCCAGCATGTCTGATTTCAAATCTTTAGATCATTTTCACTCAAGAGTATTTAAGGGCTACATCATTTTTCCGAAGTGCCTCTCTTCATCCTTGAGTGATATTCAAATCACTTGTTTACAGAAAATATCAAAACACTCTTAAAGAAAATACTCTTTGCCTATTTTCTCTTCTTGAACTGTTAACCAGTATAACTCTGCTAGAATCTAATTTAATGACAGCTTTGCAAGCAATTTTAGCGATTCTCCATAAATATCCATAAATTTCACAAAATCTAGTATGTTTTACAAGATCTACTACTTTATTTTACAATACAACCACTCTTACCTCTTCCATAAATAAAATCCTAATGCAAACCAACATCTCCTCTCTTCTGGACTTCTACAATGCTTCCTAATTTTCCTCCCAGCTTCCAATGTCAGGGGGTTGAGAGAGACACTGATAGTATCTTCTCTGTCCTCCACACAGGGATTCAAATAAACACTTAAAAATCTAAGCCAAATCCTGCTCAACACTATCCCATAACATTCCATCATAATTAGTCTTTACTTCATTCATGTGTCAATTTAAATGTCACCTCCTTGGAGAAGCTTGACTATGAAAACTACAACAGAATCCTCTTGCAAAGCCCTCGCATGCCTAATTATTCTTCCTAAGGTACTACAGTCACACAGACTCAATGACAGGGATACATTCTGAGAAATGTGTCACTAGGCAATTTTGTCAATATGTGATCTTAGAGTATACTTATACAAACCAGGATGGTATGTGTACCAATGTCCCACCACCATTACTGAATATCAATCATTTCCCCTACCTGATCTGCAATGCCAATATCAAGTGTCATATATTAGGTTTCTTTATGTGCCCTATTATTTTCTTATGAGATCACCATCACATATGCAGTCCATCACTGACTGAAATGTCATTATGCAGTGCATAACTGTATTATATGTTAGATACTACTACTATACTATACATTGGCTCTATTAGCATCTCCCCCAACCTCCATACACACATCCCAAAAGGTAAGCTCTAAAAGGACAGGAACCTTGTCAGCTAGATCCAACACCTAGAATAGTCCCTAGCACATCAGAGGCATTCAAATAAATAGAGCAATTAAGTAAATGCACTATACTGTCACAAGTTCATAAATTCCAACAATCAATGAGAGACTGAGTGACAAAGATCTGGAAACAATAGATACCAAAAAAATTTTGCTACTGTTAAACAGAGAGCAGTAAGACAATGGGAATGAATCACCAGTTTATTAGTGAACTTTTTGTGATGTGACAACGTTTTCTTCCCTGTATGTACTTACATAATAAATATTCCACTGACAAAGATCCTGTGCATATCAGAACTGAATTCTAGGCTTAAAGATAACAATATACAAAGACCTAGTCATTCTCAAATGTTTTAAAGAAAGTAAAATGTAGAAGAAAATCAGCTGAATTACACAGCTAAAATGACGCCAGTATCAACTAGAACTCACAAGGATTCTCTGTACTATAATTAATAGGAAAAATGTCAAACCTCTCAAGAATGCTGTTAACTAGAACATCCCTGCACCCTTTCTGTACACGATGTACCACATTAGATCCGTAATAGCTTTCCTAAACTGATAAAGTTTCTGAAGGTTAGTATAGTCTACCACAGTAGCACTGGACTTCCTGATAGTACACATTATCCTAAAACTATTTGTCTGATAAAATTCCATTAAATCATTATCCTAAACAGACAGTGAATTTAACAAATCAAAAACAAATGATTTCATGTAAAATTGTACTTAGTTTGAACATTTCAAGCATAAAAATTCAAAATTCAAGATTAAGAAAGTACATATTTCATGAAATAGAATTTTAGAGCTAAAAGGGAATCACACACATTCACTATATTTTACAAATACCTACTACTAAATGAAGCCAGGCATTTATTCTAAAATATTGGGAAATGGTCAAGAGGAAGACAAATATAACCCCACTCTAATACAGCATATAGGAGAATTAATTAAACTAACAACAAGGAGTCATAAGAAAATACCAGGGAAATCTAAACTAATAGATCTATTGCCCTCATTTCAAATGTGGGAAAAGTGATCTGCCCCATAAAATTTAACAAGTCAGGGAGAAAAGTCCAAGGCTTAATTTTATCACATTTTTCCCTAGTATTGCCACTTCATGTTCTCAAATTTAGATTTTTAATGTCATCTGCCTTTCACAAGATATTTTAAGCTATCATTACTTTAAGAAATTCATGAAACTTTTAATTCAACTGTGAATTCATAACGTTATAGTATTGCACTCGCTAACTCTTCCTAGTATGAAATTCAGCTCATTAAGGAAACAGATGGGCCATATAAATCTCATTTCTAGATCATGACCAAAGTAATTTCTCAGGGGTTTCATACACTGCATGGAAAAGGCTCCTAAGGACTAGACCATATGCATACTTTGTAATATGAATTCTAATCAATTGCAAGTGTGAAGCTTTGTACCTGTGTGATGGAGAAGGAGCTTCAAATTGAGGCACTGTGCTATCCTCACTGACAGGAGAATATAAGCCACTCATTTCCTGAAAGTAAAATTATTTGAATTATAGTAGACATTTCAAATACAAGATATATAAATCAAAAAGAGGCATGATATATTCCTTTCTATTCCCAGGTTTTCATCAGTCCCTGATTGTCTCAATATCAAATTTCTGAAGGCTTCCTCTCCGGAGTACAAAAGCAAGGACTGTGAAAAGAGACAAACCTTTTCTATGGTACACAATCTTAAAGAACTATCAATTGTTCACTAAATATTGTTCATCATTAAGCCACCAAATGCAGAAAAAGATAAATGTAAACATTTTAAATGAAATGTACACTATACTATGTGAATAGTGAACTAGCAAATCATTAATTCGGTTGATAACCTATTGATAAATATTAAGATAAATATGACAGTAAGGTAACTGGATCATTAGGTTCAACTCTTCACACAAAAAGCACCCAGGATATGTCAATCTCAGCTTTAAATATATTCTCTAGAAACATTAAGACTGAAATATTAGCTTTGTTTAACAATGAGTTAAATTCTAATTTTTTTATCAGTAATCCAGAATAATAGGCCTAATCAATCATCATATAAATTTTGTCTCTGAATTACACTGACAACCTAGCTTCCTTTTTTATGTACTATATTTTGATTATTGAAAAAATAGCAAATTTTAAAATGCCACTAAAGATGAATAACCAGGTAGAATTATTTCTGGCAAATCCAAGTTCAGCTCAATCATACAGTCAAGTAAGTGACATAAATGTGTAACAACTTAAGAATGCCACAGAGGATAGTGAACATCCACTAACTATTAAATCCATTAATCTTTAACATGTTCTATGTATCAGCAAAAGAAAATTATAACACACATTAAAAATTAAAAACATAAACTAAATTTATTAACAAATACAGCCAAAGGCAAAAGCCTCACATCATAATATCCTATGAGACTCCCAAGGATCCTCCAATAAATTTCCTTGGGTAAATTATATTAAACTGTAAATTCCCAGAATATTGGTAATGTATTCTTATATTTCTTTTTCAATTAACTTTAACACCTAGAAATGTGCATAGATATGTAAAATTAATTTTTAAAAAGCATTTTAGTGGTAATAATTGACAGTTTTAAGTTATTATGACAGCACTCCAAGAAAAGAGAGTGATTTTTTGGGGTCAATCTAATCAAGAAAAATTACGGCAATAAAACATTGTAAAACAAATTTAGACTATATCTTATCATCAAGTGTTCAGAATGTTTTTTCTACAAAAATCCATTCTCAATTAAAATGAAAGTAACAGCTGTTTCTTTGTAACCAAGACCAATCCCATAAACTTAACAGAAAGGTGACAATTTCAAGAAATTGAAAAACTGCTAAAGATGGGAGAAACTTTTGATTCCTTACTTCCACTCTCTTAATATCCTCTTCCAAAACACTTAGCTCCTTCTGGATCTGTTCCAGTTGCTGCAGATTAAATAGAGAGAGAGAGAGACAAAAAAAAAAAAAGCCTAAGCCAAACCAAAATGGCATCACCACAATCATAAAATAAATTTACATATCAAACTAGGCACTAAAGGCAAATTAACAAGAGGGATAACCATCAACAAAATACAGCTAGAAGTTCCCATTTTTAAATGCAAAGGTAGAGAATTATGTTTAAGAAAACACAATGTTGTACTTCTTTAATACAAGTTTGATTTTACAATAAAAGTATGAGAGATGAACAATGACAGTGACTTAAAAAAATACAAGATAGCCAAAGAACTTCCACATTACCTCATTTAACTGTTAACAATCAAACAGAAAAATTCAGCATGTTAGTTGTTAATGATACTTTATTTAATTTTAATTTTTATTTTTTTTAAGAGACAGGGTTTCACCATGTTGGCCAGGCTGGTCTTGAACTCCTGACCTCAGGCGATCCACCCGCCTTGGCCTCCCAAAGTGCTGGGATTACAGGCATGAGCCACCGTGCCTGGCTAATTTTTAAATTTTTAATAGAAAGGGGTTTCACTATGTTGTCGAGGCTGGTCTCCAACTTTTGAGCTTAAGCAATCTGCCCGCCTCAGCCTCCCAAATTGCTGAGATTACAGACGTCAGCCACTGTGCCAGGGCTTTAATCACAGTTTATAAATAAAGATTAGTCTGAGAGAGGTTAAATCCCCTCACCCAAAAGCAACCACAGGTTAGTATCTGAACACCTCCTTCTTAAGGGTTTTTAAAAACACAGTTGAGATAATATTTTAATTTTTATATCTTGCCTATTCAATCTTAATAATCATTAAAAAACATGCCACTAAAATGCAAACATTGTAACTGATGAAACATTCAACAATATATTGAACCATTCCCTTTCTCCTTAGCGATTTAAGTTGCCTGCAAACTATCACATATAATTCTGGAACATACTGGCCTTTTAGATTTCATTTCATTTCATTTTCAGATTGTATTAAAATGTTACTTCAGATTTTATTAAGAGAGTATTAAAAATAAAATCATTCAATCAAAAGAAAACTGCTTTCCAGAAACACAATACCAATTTAAATTTCTATCGCCAGTATGCGGTTGTCTTACTTTAATCCAGATACAGTGAACAAATTTATAAAATGTAAAATATTAACAAAACTTATACATTACTGATTGCCAGATATGAAAAATGAGGCACAGAAGGGTTAAATGATTTGTCCAAAAATCATTCAGTGAGTAAGTGACAGAACTGGAATTCAAATTAAGGTAGGATTCTTGTTCCAGAATTTATGCTGTTGACTACTATGCTTTCCCACCTATTGAAAGCAGTACCTTACTATTAATTCATTTATTTAATGACTGATAAGGTTGAACAGGGTTTTTTTTTTTTTTTTTTTTTTTACAGACCTATTAGCATTAGCATCGCCTCTTCTGTGGCAATACAAGCAAAGTTGGTAATCTAATTAATAATATATTCATTCAACTATTTACCAATTCTAGGCACCTTCCTAAGCACTGAGAAGAACAGGATCTAAAAACAACTGTATCCCTTTCCCTCACTAAGTTCAGTCCAGGTGAGATGGCAAACAAGAAAGCCAATAGTTGAAATATCGTATTAAACATTTTGATGATGTTATGCAACGTACTAAGGGAATATAGACCACATCTAATGAAGAGCTGGTGGGGTAGGAAGAGGACTAGATGACTAAAATTTGATTGAAAATTAAATCAAATCAAAGGCTGAAGCTAAGGCAATAAATGAACTTGTTTAACATCAATCAGTATTGTCGGAAAAGATAAAAAACAAACTGGAATGGTAGGGAACACCAATGTTAAAGAGATGAGTAAAGGAAGAAGCAGCATTAGTTATCAAGAAGGGCAAAGTGGCAGCCAGAAAATCAGGGGAAATGACAGCACTATTAGAGAAATCAAAGGTTAAAAGAGTGATTTGCATTTTCAAAAGCTTTCAAACTCATCTATCTACTTTAATAAACTTCCTATCACCTTAAAACATGTCACAGAATGCCACCTTAACTGAAGCACTGCTCACTCTTAAAGACACTGTCTGTTCTGAAACTCTTTCACATAACAGCTGCTCAACTGATAAAAGTCTCTAAAGCCCCAGAGTTTACAGGACTTATTAATAGATAGGAACTCACCATTTCTACTCCATTCCATGGCCATTTCCAACAATTAGTATTCCAACCTAAAATTAGTTTTCTACCATACCATAAAAACCACTCTGTCTCGCTCATACTAAGCAGCCAAATCCTTGTCTACCCACTTTAGCCATCTATAAACATTCCAGTTATTCCCCACCATCATTGAAGCCTTTTGGTTCATGGACATTTTCAGCTCCAGTGATGCTGATCTCTACTTCAGCAAAACACTCCCATAGTCATCCCTTAAACATTTTCAGTTAACTACCTTAAAATGCTCCACTCTTGAAATTTTCATTTAAGCAAATGCTCTACTATGAGAGGTCTTTAGAATAATTGTTTTAAAAAATACATTTAACAAGAAGAATGAGTATCTGACAAAAGGTCTAATATCCAGAATCTAAAAAAAACTCAAATAAATGAAAAACAAAAAACAAATAACCCCATTAAAAAGTGGAGATATATCTGAATTGAACCTTAGAAAGACTGAAGGAATTAAAAAAAAAAAAAAAAAAGTTGGGATAGACATAAACAGACAATTCCCAAAAGGCAACATACAGGCGGCCATCACACATGAAAAAACGCTCAATATCACTAATCATCAGATAAACGTTAATAAATACCAAAATGAGATACCATCTCACACCAGTCAGAATGGCTATTATTAAAAAGTGAAAAAAATAAAAATAAAATAAAACAAGAGATGCTAGTGAGGCTGAAGAGAAAAAGGAATGTTTGTTTATACACTGCTGGTGGGAATGTAAATTAGTTCAGCCACTGTGGTGAATGGTGTTTGAAGATTTCTGAAAAAACTTAAAAGAGAACTACCATTTGACTCAGTAATCACATTACTGAGTATGTATCTCCCCCTCAAAATAAATAAATCGTTCTACTTAAAAGACAATGTATATGTATGTTCATTGCAGTCTATTCATCACAGCAAACATTCATCAACGCCCACCATTGCCCATCAATGGTGGTCTCAATAAAGATGTGATATACAGATGCCATGGAATACTATGCCACCATTAAAAAGAACAAAATCATGTCATTTGCAGCAACATGGATGGACCTGGAGGCCATCATCCTAAGTGAATTAACACAGGAAGAGAAAACCAAATACCACATGTTCTCATTTGTAACTGGGAGTCATCAGATACTCATAAAGATAGTTACAACAGACGCTGGGAACTACTAGGGTTGGGGAGGGGACAAGGGATCGAAGAACTAACTGTTGAGTACTATGCTCACATTTCAGAGTGATGGGGCCAATCATACCCCAAACCTTAGCATCACACAATGTATCTATCTACATAAGAAACCGGTGTATGTACTCCCTGAATCTAAAATAAAAGTTGAAATTATATTAAAAAAGTAAATATCTATAATTTCAGTAGCCAAAGACAGCCAATATCATTTGTATGATATACAATAAATAACTGAAATCAATTTTTATTCTGTTTTTGAACTTGAAATTTCAGAAAAATTTCCAATGTCACCTGAAATCTCAAAATATTAAACTCTAATGTCTTCTCTAAAAATAATGTTCCATCTGCTAGTACCTCAAAGCTTTTACTGGCTAATATACCTATTGTTACATATGGAGGCTACTATATATGAGGTGAACCTCATATAACTGCCAATAATAAAACAATTTTTCCTTCAGAAACAGCAATTGTGTATGGTTCAATTTAAAAATGAATTAACAAAGGCATAGTGTTGTCCTGATAAATATACGGATAGAATGCAAAACAAAATGATATCAGGCAAGAAATATTAAAGAGAAAAAAGTTTGGAATAAAATCTGTTGAGAGCATGTATTAGATTTGAGGTGCTTCCATTTCAAGATGAGAATTCTGAAGGGATTTGGAGCTGTAAGTTATATAGTACAAGATATTTTAATACAAGTAAATAGATAAAAGCTGAAGGACAACCATTTCAAGGATGTGGAAAGAAGAAATGGGCTAAATTCACTGTGCAAATCTCATAACCCAAAGAAGGAGAACCTAGAAGAAAAGCCTGAATATGAGCCTAAGAATGTTTGAAAGACACATGAAGAAAATCAAGAAGCTGAACTGCTTAACCTAAAGGAAAATCAATCACAAACTAGGAATGATAATAAACCACTAGATCACATTTACTTTAACACCATTACAGAGTTTGGTGTTACTTAAAATAAAAAATAAATATATAAGATGGAGAACTAAGACAATGCTATTTGATAGCATGGGAGTAAGGAACCAACAGCAAGCACTCTCTTAACACTGGGCAAAAGTCCCCCCAAAAAACTGATAGAAATATTTCATGTAAATGTAAAGAGTAAGTAAGTCTCAGAATCCCTTATGAGGATAAGAGAGAGAGTCTCCCATTATTGACAATAGCTTTGGTGTAGGTAGGTTTTGTTGGTACTCATTTGACTTTCATTAGTGGCTTGATAAAGATATGCTTAAATATTAAACACATTATTTGAATTTTTAATATAATTTAGAATAAATTATATATAATTGTTCCAAACTGAAAAGAATATACCATTTCACTTTCACTGGGGAAAAGCTGATTTTAAAAATCAAGGCTAGATACAGTGGCTCACGCCTGTAATCCCAACACTTTGGGAGGCTGAGGTACGTGGATCACCTGAGGTCAGGAGTTCAAGACCAGCCTGGCCAACATGGTTAATCCCTGTCTCTACTAAAAATACAAAAATTAGCCAGGGGTATTGGTAGGCACCTGCACTGCCAGCTACTCAGGAGGCTGAGGCAGGAGAATCACTTGAACCAGGAGGCGCAGGGTGCAGTGAGCCAAGATTGCACCACTGCACTCCAGCCTGGGCGACAGAGCAGGACTCCGTCTCAAAAAACAAATAAATAAATAAAATAATTAATAATCAAGAAGGAAAACCTAATATACACTAATTCTAAGAGAGTTACTACCAAAAACAAAGCATTTAGCCATACATAGTGCACACTACAGCAAGCCAAAACACTTATCACCCCATACTATCACTCCACAAACACACACATACTTAATATCTAGTTCCTGAAATGGCAGACCTGATTAAAAGACTTTATTTAATCCTTTCATAGTACTTTCTCTTTTTTGTTTGTTTTTTTTTAAAGACAGGGACTCATTCTGTCACCCAGGCTGGAATACAGTGGCACAATCTCAGCTCACTAAAGCCTCTGCCTCCTAGGCTCAAGTGATCCTCCCACCTCAGCCTCCTAAGGAGCTGGGATTACAGGCATAGGCCACCATGCTCCACAAATTTATTTAAAAACTAGTTTGTAGAGACAAAGTCTCACTATATTGCCCAGGTTGGTCTTGGAACTCCTGGCCTCAACTGATCCTTCCACCTCAGCCTCCCAAAGTGTTAGGATTATAGGCACCAGCCACTGTGTCCAGCCAATATTTTGTTTTAAGCTGAGAAGAAAACAGAAAAAGCAAGAACAAAACCAAATAAATAAATAATAGAGTAGTGAAGGGGCAAAATAAGACGGCTTATTTAAGAGCAAATGTAAACAAATGTCAATACCAGTAGACTGATAAGTTAAAAATATATGCTGTAATATAAAGAGCAACAACTAAAATATGATACAAAAAATTTACTTAAAAACATTATAGATAAATCAAAACGGAATTCCAAAAACTGTTCAAAAACCCATAGAGAGAAAAACAGAAAAGCAACAATAACTAAAAAAAGAAACACAAAACAAAAGATATTTCTGAGAAGAAATTCAAAAACATGAAAAAAAAAAAAAGAGAAAAGAGAGAAAAACAAAAAATAAAATGGCTGGTTACATCATAACATTTATATTAAATAAATAGCCTAAATACATAATTAAAAGACTGAGCCTGGCAGAGTAGATTTACAAAGCATAGTCCAACCATATGCTATCTATGAGAAATTCACCTCAAAGATAATGAGCCAGTACTAGGTATAACAAGAAAACAAAGACCTGGTATGAATGCAGGAAATTCTCACCACACATTTAACGACATTACAACGAATCACACAACTGCAGAAAACACATTCTTTTCAAGCACAAGTATTTCAAAATTTAACCAATTACCAGTTAGTACAGCAAATATTATATTCAAAGAAAGATAACACAACTTTCTGATTACAATGCAATTATAATAGAAATCCAAAACAGAAAAGACAAAATCTCAATGTTCAAGTAATAAGACACTTGTTTCTAAATAACCCACAGGCCTAAGAATAAAATATAATGAAAAAAGAAATTCTTTTGAACTAAATAATAAACAAAATATGATGCCAAAAGAATTAGGTACAGATTAAAAAATAAGAAACTATGGCCCTAAATGCCTACATTGGAAGAAACAATCTGCATAATAATATGCATATCCACCCAAGCTAACAGATTAGGAAGGAACAAAAAAGTAAAACCAAAGAAAGCAAGATGGAAATAAAAAAGAATATAAATAAAATAGAAAACAAAATAGAGAGTAAAAACAAACTCAAAAGTTGGTTCTTAGACAAAATTCATATAATTGATATATTCCTTGCAAGAACTGATCAAAAAAAAAAGAGAGAAAGAGAAAGGAACAAGTAAAATAAACAATGCCAACCCTAGCAACACTAATAACTTAAAAGACTATTAAGACCAATCTTATGCCAATAAATCTGAAAACTGAGATGACATAAAGAATGACTAGAAAAAATTTAACATATAAAAAGTGACATCTAAAACAAAAAACTTAATAAGAATATAACTGTTCAAGTAATGGATTCAATAACTTAAACCTTCCTGCAAACAAGTCACAGGTCCAGATTGCTTCTCCACTAAGGTCTTTAAACATTCAACAAAGATGCCCACAGATTACACAAATTATTTCAGAAAATTTAAAAAGAAGATATATTTCCCAACTCATTTGATAAAGCTGGCATAATCTTTATTGCAAAACTGGACAAGATATGTGTAAGAAAAAAATAATCTCACTGATGAACATAGATGCAAAAATCCTAAACAAAATATAAGCAAACCAAATCACAGAGAAGAGGATATACAAAATGGCCAGGTTTGGTTTATATAAAGGATGCAAGTAGGGGGACCAACTGTCCTGGTGGGGTTTCCTAAAATGCAGAACCTTCAGCGATATAACTAAGATATAAGACATCCCTGAGCCAGTCAGGATGGTTGGTCACTCTAGGTGCAAAGTTGACTGACTTTCCAATGTTAAACCAATGTAATTATTCACATTAACAGAATGAAAAGAAAAAACTGTATGGTGATATCAGATGCACAAAAATTCTGAAGACTACTCAACCCCATTTAGAAATTTTTTAAAACTTCTCTTAGCAAACTGGGAATAGAAATTTACTGCCTTGAGTGATAAAAAGTACCTAAAAAAAAACCTACAGAAAACATCATACCTAATGGTGACACGTCGAATGCTTTCACTTTGAGATCAGCATCAAGACTAGGATGCCCCGCTATCACCACTTCTATTCATCATTGTACCGGATGTCCTAGCCAGCAGAGTAAGACAAGAAAAATAAATGAAAGATATAAGGATCATAAAGATTGAAACTAAACTGTTATTATTTGCAGATTATGATGTGCACATAGAAAATATAAAAGAATCTACAAATAAATTAGGATTAATGTGAGTTTAACCAGGTTCCTGGATATTTTAAGAAATCTGTATGTAAAATGCAACTGTATTTCCATATACTAGCATAAGAAACTGAAGTTAAAGACACAGACATCATTTACAATAGCATCAAAAGTGACTAAATCTAAAATAAAGATGTGTAAGAATACCCTGAAAAATAAAAAAATTTTAAGGATATTTGAAAAGTCTAAATATAGAGGGAAGTACCATGTTCATGGATTAAAAGATTCAATATTGTAAATACACAGTCTTCCAAATTTACCTAGTCAAATTAATCCCAATAAAAAGCACAGCAAGTTTACCATGTAAATGTACTAGCTGATTCTCAAATTTATATTGAAATGCAGAGAGCCAGGAATATTCCCAGACTTTAAAGAAGAACAGCAACTTAATTCAAAGTTTTAGTATTTAATAAAATTCGGTATTGCTAAAAAGACCAGTGGAGCAGAAAAGAGAACCTAGAAACAGACCCACACATACATGAACACATGATATATGACAAAGGTGAAACTTCAGAGTGATGGAGAAAGAATGGACTTTTTAATAAAGGATGCTTGGACAGCTAGATATCCATATGAAAATATCTCTATACCTCACATTATACACAAAAATAAATCTCCAAGTAGAGTATAAATCTTAATATGAAAGATAAAAGAATAAAGCTCCAATCAAAGAACTGTATAGAAAAATGTATTCATGACCACAGGTGGAAAAGACTTTAAGTTACACAAAAGACACTAATTATAACAGGAAAGATAAATTTCACTCTATTAATATCAGAAACTTTTGCTCATCAAATGACATCATTAAGACAGTGAAAAGAATGCAGCCCAATTAGAGGGAAAGATATTTGTGAAAGATAGATCTGACAAAATGTTTATGTAGAATATATAAATATCAAACCATTAAGAAAAATCAAACAAAAAAACGTAAAAATTTTTAAACAAGTACTTCAGACACAAACATAAAAAAAATTCAAATGGCCAATAAACGTAGTACTAGGTCCTCAACCTCATCAGTCATCAGGAAAATGAAAATTATAACCATAGAAAATTGTTTATACCCCAAGATTAGCTAAACTGGAAAAAATCTACTGGTACCACATACCAGTAAGAACACAGTGCAACAGAAAATGCTCATATAATGCCTATAGGAAGAATAAGTAATACAATTTGTTTCAGAAAATATTTTGGCATTATCTATTAAATCTGAAGATACACATATCCTATGACTCATCAATTCCACTTCTAAATACATTCCATATAAATATGCATAGTAAAATAAACCTGGCTACACATATAATAGTATTTTTTGTAAACAGCCCAAAACTGAAAATAACTCAAATGCCTATCACCAACAAAAACAGGACATATTCACTTAATGGAATACTACACAACAACAAAAATCAATCAACTACAGTCATATATAACCATATGGATGAATCTTAACATTTAGCTGAAGACGACAGGAACAAAAGATTACATACTGCACAAGCACACTTACATAACGCTCAAAAACAGGCAGATCTATGGACACTCAGGTAGCAAAACATTAAAGAAAGGCAAGAAAGCACCATAACTTTTGGGATACTGGTTACCTACTGGGCAACAAAGATGGCTGCAATACAAAAAGGGTAGTAAGGGGGCTTCAGGAGTTCTAGTAGTATTCTATTGTGTTTACAATGGAGTTTATACATATGGTCACTCTACTATAATTCTTTATAAATTTGTTTTATATACTTTTCTGTGTTTTTCATATAAAAATGGTTTAAAATTTTATTTACTAATATTCACAATAAAACGAAAAGGAAACCAAGACTCATCAAAAAGATTCTATTACAGTAAATTAAATGGGTATCAAAAGTGTCAAAAAAGTATATTTTAAAATTAAATCAAATGAAATAGAGGGGAACCATTCAAATGCTGGTACAAACTAGCACAGACAAGACTGGCTTTTACATGGAACCCAAGGCCCTTTTGTTTAATCTGACCATGAAGGAAGACTAACATGTTCATTTATAACTATTAGAAGCTGTAATAAGCAGGTTCTAAGATGGCCTCCAAAGATCCCCACTTCTTAGTAATCACACCCTTGTGCAATTCTGAGTGTGGAATTAACCAATGATTTGCTTCTAACAAACAGAAAACAGCGAAAAGCTTTAGAATATAATTTCCAGGATAAAGTTACAAAGAGCAGTGACTTCTGTCTTCAACACTCTCTCTTGCTTTCTTACTTGTTACTTTTGAGGGGTAGCCAGCTGCCACATAGTGAGGTATCCTATGGAGAAGCCCATTTGCCAAAAAATTGGTATCTCTTTCCAAAAGCTGATGAGTGAGCTTGGAATCCCAGTCAAACCTTGAGATAACCGCTACCTTGGCCAATACTATAATTGCAGCTTGGTAAGAAACACAGAGTCAAGGCATCCTGCTACTCTGAATCAAAATTCTAGACCCCATATATTAAATTTTAATGTTTCAGGGCATCAAATTTGAGAATAATTTGTCACACAGCAATAGATAACTAATGCAAAAGGCTATCATGTACCTTGCACTTTGCATTCTCTTAATATTCTAAAGAGAGTCAGTAGGAAAAAATAAAACTGAAAATTAAATGGCCCTAAATTACTAGCCAGTTTTAACAGTGGAATACTGATTATCCAAATGAGTTAAATGAATCTTAACATTAAATCCAAAAAGGGTATTTAACTTATTTGATTGGTATATCTCAATGTCTAAACCTACACTCATCAGAACTCCAATTAAAAGTTACAAATGAAATCACGAAGTTAATTTTCAAAGTCTGAATGTTAATCTTAGAAAAACAAACTCAAAAGCAGCAATTTGCCTCCCAGTAAATCTATATTTTACTTGAATAAGTACAAGTTTATAAACTGTATTACAGGTCCTAAGATCTTTAACAATTATATTCATTTTGAGGATTAAACACGCAAATAGACTTACACGCAAGAATAAAATATAACCACTCACTTCATTCTGTCTGCACTAAAACATGAGGTATTAATCAACTATATTTTGTAGACTAAAACTTATTAAAATCATACAGTACCTAATTCCAATTATTGCGAAATCCATGAAATTTAATCAAAGTAATAAATGTTTAAAATTTGTTAACATAGCTTCTCAGAATTTCTTGTGTAATTTAAATTAAAATACTCAAAGTCACAAAATCATAGATATATTAAAATCAAGAAAACCAAAATGTATTAATACAGTAAAATCACTGTACACTGGAGACACAAATATCCAGAAGTATTTGGAACTAGTATGCTTCCATCCGATAACCCACCTACTACAAGAAAAAGTGGACCAAGAGAGAGAAAAAAATCACAAGGATTACATTAGATTCAAATCAAAATCAAGCAAAAAAGTTCTACAGCATGATTCACCCAGAAGTTTAACATCAAAAATACAAAAACACTATGCCAAAGCTATAAGATCAAAGTCAGTATTACAGAAGGTATTGTGGGAGGCCACGGGCCACCACATCAGAGAAAGGCCAAATGAAGATCACATGGAAGAATTAATGTTGGGAAGTAATTCTCCAATCTCTCTCCAATTTCTGCATATCTTGTGATAGATTTTTGTTCTAAATTATCTTTCCAAGAATGTTTATACAGCAAAAGGCTGGCAAGACAGAAACAGTGACTTATTCTGGGGGCAGAGGGCAGATTTGTTTTCTGACCAATAAAAAATCATGTCTTCTGGCAGTACCAACATTGAAGAGGTCTGCCAGCAACCCCTTTTAGAAGACTGGGGTTTCCTAGTATGAGGATTCCTTTGCTGCAACACAAACAAATCCATTGTGTGTGCAGCATCCACCTAGACCCAACTCCACAGTGTCACATGTGGGATACAGGGGTCAGAAGGAACTGATGCAAAGATGAAGCTGATGCTATCAAATGTCCCATAAGTAATAAAACCTTTTATTTCCAGTCGTCTCAGGTCTTCTGCCAGCATCGATGAAACCGTGGCAAGTTAACTTGTTAACCTGCTAAAAGGGTAAAAAATTTCAGACCCTTCACAGTGTTTTACAGTTATATGCTGTAAAAATGTCAAGTCTAACAATTTGTGGCAGGCATCAGGAGACCCCTACAGAAGCAATGAATAATACTGAACACCTCAGAGGCTAATGAAAACCATTAGGTTTCATAAAAATAGTTTAGGACACAGATGATAACTAGTGATTTCATTTAAAATTCAAGTATTTGAGATTTTAATTGTTAATTTCATTGATTCATTTACTTATTCATTATCAGGTACTTTCTTATGTACTGAATATCATTCTCAATGACTTCAAAGTCTAAAAAAGAAACATGTAATTCCATATAAAATATTCAGCCTTGATCCTCAAAGTGTGGTCCAAGGGCCAAGAACTTCAACATCACTGAAGCTTGCTAGAAATGCAGATTGTCAGGCTCTAACAGAGGCTCCCTTAATCAGAGCATGCGTTTTAGCAAGAGCATTAGGCAACTTTCATGCACATTGCCATTTATATTGTGCCACCAGACATTTAAACAAATGAATGACTGGACATCATCCTTCCCACCCACCTCCAAAAAAAAAAACAAACAAAAAAAACCCCTAAGAGATAGAAGTAAATCTTAAATTTATAATAGATAATGTTTGTTAGCAGGCATATTTAAATCACAAGTAAATTAGCAACAGTTGAAAATAAGAAAAATATAGTCACAAACAATATAAAGAATATTTCATCATCCAGTAAAACATCTCTATTTACTTTTGAAAAGAATAAAGACAGCCCAGAACACAGCACATAATGGACAATTTACACATTTTTAAATGAGTAAAAAGTATCATAATTAGACAATTCTTAACGTAAACATACCAGGTTCCAGCCAGTTAGAAATTTTCTTTAAAAAGTTTTCAAAGTAATTTTACCATGCTATCCAGAACACAGGATTTTGACTATTTAATTTTCCTACATTCTGTATACGTGTGAAATGACTGAGAAATTTTACAAATGTTAAATTAGAACATGCTCACTATAAAACTGTTGATACAAAATTGCCTTTTAATTATCCTCCATGAGTTAGACTTCCCAAATTCTAAACAGGTAGCTATCTTTTTACTTGTTTTTGCCCACATGCATTTTTACCATAATAAATAAACTATGTCCTACTTAAGGCTTTATAATCTAAATTTTCCTAAGTTTTCTTTTCTTTTCATGTTGAAGGATACTGTTATTTAATAATTCTATTTTCAGCTCTTTATAGCTTTTAGGTAAGTTATTGCAGTCAGTCTTACTGATAGCTTTTTGGCACATCTCCACAAAATGATTTTTTAAATATCAAGTTGTAAAAAAAGAAAAAAAAAAAAGAAGTTAAAGTAAGAAAGCTTAAGGAAACCTCCTAAAAATTCAAATGCTTTTAAAAATATTTAAAGAAAATTTTTTAGCCTGAAATGCTTTTTACATAACGGGAACAGTTAACAATTGTAAATAAAACATTATGTAAAACACACAAAATAATATACCTCTCTCTTATTTCTTCTTGCAACCTTGAGGAATTCCATAAGAATCTGTAGTTGGGCTGCATGAGATTCCTACAATAGAAAATTATAATTGTTCTTTTAAAAAATATAACTGAGTTGAAAGTTTTCTTTAACACCATAGTATAACCAGTATGAAGCAACTTTATGCACCCATCTAAGTTAGTCTATTACTGCTACTTAATCACTTTTTCCATTTGCTAACTGGCATTAAAGAATCAATTTTCTACAAAACTAACTAAAACTAACTTTGAGAAACTGGTGTTCTAAATTACATCCCTCATCTAACATGCTGAAAAATCTTTTCATGGAAATAGCAATTATATTACCTGACTCCTAGCCTTCTCTTCCCCAACTAAAGTAATAAAACATCAAAAAAAAAAAATTGACGATGGAAGTAACATAGCTTAGACACTAAAATCACTTTCTTCATGAGAACTTCATTTGCAGAGGTAAATGTAATAGAGATAAACCCATTACTCTCAGAAGTCAAATTTACTATTTCTAGTTATTACCTATTTACTCACAGATGTGAGAACATATTTCTATGGAAGATGTCAGGCAAAATCAAACATCTGAAAACAAAAAAATTTAATATAAACAAGTGGGCAGCTTGGGAGTGGGGAGAAAAGTGTAATTTAAATTGGTTATTGAAACAAAGATAGACAAATCAAAGCATAATAAACCTTGACATCTTTTGGGCAGCAAAACATAAAAATACAAATATGTATCTTTTACTGTTAAAATTCACAAGAAGAACCAGGAATTCCAGGTGAATCTGATAAAAATATACAAAAAGGATATCAAAAGCTAAAAATATCAATTAGAGATAGTTTATGAACAAACATCATTCTAATTTTTTCTTATATACTTGAAAGGGAGAATAAAAAAGCCCAGTGGAGCAATTTCAAAACATGCAAAAATATATTAATAAAAAAGATTAATAAAACTTTAATTTGCCTGGCTATGCAAGAGAATTACGTGGGGCATTTGTTAAAACAGACACTGGGTCAGATTTTTAAAATTCTGATCCTGTTGCTCTAGAAAAGGTTCCAGTAATCTATGTTACACAAGTGTCCAGATGATAACAAGCAGCCAATTAAAATCTGAAGAATCACTAAGATATAACACTTACTACAAATAAGCATGACCACTTCACACCCACTTCTACAGTCTATCTCTCTTGCAGGTCTTTTGATTTAAAAAAAAAAGAGCAGCAAAACAGATCAATGAAATTTACAAGTCAAGGCAAATAAGGTGATGAAATATTAAGTGACAATCACAATAGGATACTCTAATTTAAAAAATATAACTGAATTAATACGTTTTACAACTGAATAAATTTCCAAAAATAGTATCACGAAGACTGAAATTTTTTCTTTCATAACAAACTGACTGACTGGACCTTAGACCCATTCTTCCCAAGTGAGTTAATCTGTCACACAGAACAAACCCACAAGGGCTCTATCTCAACAGTGATGATAAAGCATCCAAGTCTTCTACATCATTCTTGGGACTTCTCTACACTGGTTATCACTATCTACAGATTATTTGTCTAGAGGGCAAAGACCACACCTTTATACAAAAAGTAACTCCAAGCTAATAAAGTGACAGTTCATTTACAAAGGAAGGGAAGTGTACAATCTTCAAAATTATAAATTTAAATACTTCATTTCAATCTATTAACTAGAATATGTAAATACGACAAGAATGCAATTGATTTGTAGAAAGGAGAAGGGGAAGTTCCCAAAACCTCAATGTAAAAGGAAAGTGGGGCCAACTACATACACCAGGAACTCACCCCATGACACTTCTTCTGAAGTTTAACCTTCTTAAAGAAGAATTTCAAGAAAGGAGATGATGGCAAATGTGAAACTATAATTTCATATATAAATATGAAAGAAAATTATAAAAAAGATAGTGGAAGAATAAAAAAAATGCTTTAAAAAATGGAAAGAAGAGTATAACCAATTATACCAGAATGTCAAGCCATATATTGTTCTGTTAGAAGAAGTGCAGAATTTAACATGAAAGTAATTCCACTACTAAAAATATAAGTCCAAGAAGCCAATTCTCTAAACATTTCTTACAATTGTCAAAACTTCCAAAAAACATGTGAGGATCATTTATCCCAATTCTCCCATTTTTGGATAAGGAAGTGTGTAAGAAAAAGAACAAAGGGAAACGTATTTAGAAAAAAAAAGAAATATACATATTTAGAATCTTACTCGCTACTCTCAGTACTCTTTACAATACAGCAAGTTTTTGTAATACTTGTCCCATCTGGTTCAGTCAAGTGTCTCTAGAGGGAACGTATCTGCCATGTGACATGAAATACGCTTCAAATTTGTATAGAACATTGGTCTTCTTTATTTTCCTATCCTTCTCTGCAATTAAATTTTGTTGTATTCTAAAAGAAAAAATTATCCCTTTTATGGAAATGGAATAACTGCCTGATTACAGCCTCATATAATTAAGTATGTGAATTGCGTATTAAACTCTTCTTGCTCCCATTCCATGCTTTAGTATCCTTCTGTTATATGGCATGTTAGATGTCTCTCCAAATGAGAGAAAATGCACTGGTCCGAACTATGTAAATAACCGATGTAACTGATTTTTACATATTTCACTATAAGTGAGTAATTTGGTCCTTACAGGTTTAGTCAGCATGAGTTCATCTTCCCAATTCAGTTCACTCTACAATAGTTTCTCAAGAGGAGAACAACTGGCATTTCGAGGGTGAACATGTGTTTTTGCATAAGACTTTCCAAGTACAATGGCATAGGCAAGTTATTTAGAAATAGAATTGTTGGTGCAATCCTAGCACTGTGGGAAGCCAGGGCAGACAGATTTCGTGAGCCCAGGAGTTCAAGACAGCCTGGGCAACATGTGAAACACTGTCTCTACAAAAAATACAAAAACTAGCCGGGCATAGTGGCATTTGCCTGTGGTCCCAGCTACTTGAAAAGCTGAGATAGAAAGATCATCTGAACCCAGGAAGGTCAAGGCTGCAGTGAGCAGTGATCACGCCACTGCACTCCAATCTGGGTGAAAGAGTGAGACCCTCTCTTAAAAAAAAAAAAAAAAAGCACAGAAGAATGAGAGGGTGGGGCTGGCTGGATTGTGTTTCAATTTTAAACCATGGGGTGAGGCCTTGAGGGCCATTTAGGGACCTTGGCTCTCACTGTGAGTGAGATGGGAGCCATGGAGGGTTCTGACCAGAGGAGGGGCGTGGCCTGACTTAGGCTCTTACAGGAGCCCTCCACGAGAAGGCCAGACTTAGGACCCAGGGTGGCGGTGACCGCACACAGGATGCCGGCTGGGCTTGGTGGGGCTGTGGAGTGGGGAAGACAGAGTCTGGATGTATCCTGAAGGTGGAACCAACAGACTTAGCTGGGGGATGGGACATGGGGGTGGCAGACAGCCTCTGGGGAGGGTGGAGCTGGCTGGCCTTAAGGCCACGCAGGCTGTGGGCAGGGCAGGTTTCTGGATAAGGACTAGGTTGCAGATGCATTCACCCTGAGTTGCCCGGCAGTGCGGACGTGGAGTTTGGGTTTACCCTGGTGTTGAGTGGCACACGCTCACGGTGCAGTTATCACGTGGCTGGTGTCATCACCACGCGGGTGCTGCAAGCCAGGCTCCTCACGACTGCTGCGATGCCCCGTGCAGCCACCAGGGGGCGCCCCAGCCGCACCTGGGACTCGCAGGGACCGGGTCATCCTCAGGACGAGCTGCCCTGCTCGGGGCAGGACGCTTGGCCGCACCCTTGGCCTCCGCTCACGGCTCACTGGAAGTTTGTTGCCTCCCTCCTTCCCCGCCCGCTCCATGTGACAGCTGAACTGTCTCCAGACATCGCCAGGCGCCCCCTGGAGGGGAAAATCGCCCCCAAGGCAGTCGGAGCCATGGCCTGCTGAACCACATTCATTTACTGAGAGCCTACAGTGTGCCAGCGCCTACTGTGTGCCCGCGCCTACTGTGTGCCAGCGCCTAGTGTGCCAGCGCCTACTGTGTGCCTGCGCCTAGTGTGACAGCGCCTAGTGTGCCAGCGCCTACTGTGTGCCTGCGCCTACTGTGTGCCTGCGCCTACTGTGTGCCTGCGCCTATGTGCCAGCGCCTAGTGTGCCAGCGCCTACTGTGTGCCTGCGCCTACAGTGTGCCAGCGCCTACAGTGTGCCAGCGCCTAAAGTGTGCCTGCGCCTACTGTGTGCCAGCGCCTACAGTGTAAGAGTGCCTACCGTGTGCCAGCGTCTACCGTGTGCCTGCGCCTACAGTGTGCCAGCGCCTACTGTGTGCCAGCGCCTACTGTGTGCCTGCGCCTGGGCTCCACAGGGGTTCACAGGGGTGGCTTGTCGCCTGTCCCGAGCGTCGTGCACCAGCAGGAGTCATGCGCCCAGACAAAGCTGGCCCCCAGATGACCACGAGGCAGCCACTCTGGACAGTAGAACACCAGAGCCAAGTGCATCCACCCCACAGGGGAGGGGACCGCTGGTGCCTCCAGGTTTGCCATTTATTAGCTGTGTGTCCTTGGGCAAGTCGCAAGAGCTCTCTGAGCCTCAGTTTCCCCATATGGAGAATGAGATAGGAGTCCATTTTGGAGCCAGGCACCAAGATGGGGTCTGAGACCGAGCCAGGGCAAGACCACTGCTCCTTCCAGAGGATCACAGGCTGGGCGAACAGCACCTGCCGCATGAACATTGCCTGTGCCAAGCACACCTGAACCCCGACGTTTCCCAGCTTACGTTTTCTCCATATCATGGCTGATACACTAATTATTTCACTCATTTCTCTGGTTGATCATCAGGCTCCCAGCTCGAGAATGTGAGCTTCGCGAGGCCAGAGACTTCGGTCTAAATTGTTTGCTGCTGAATCTGCAGAGCCAGGAGTGTACCTGGAACACAGTGGCGGCTCCATCTGGTTGGACAAACAAATTTTGGGCTTCCGGTTTTGCCCCCATATAGTTCAACCTACATCAGATGATGCTGTGCCTTGGAACTCTCCTCGATCAGAGTCAAAGCCGAAGTTCTCCACAGGCCCTACTGATCTGTCCCTACCCCGTC